CAAATGAGGTTCTAGTTGAGATTTCTTTTGGAACCCTTTCTTGAAAATCTCTAACACGAAGGACAGATTACAAAGACAGGATAGCACAATTAATGCCAGCCGTCACAAAGGCGTACAGGAAACAGCAATTATTTTTGGCAGTGTCCTTTTTTCTTGTATATGATAAATCCACCAATTCTTAAAAAAACTTTTTTCTTGTATATGATAAATCCACCAATTCTTAAAAAAACTGAGAACATTTCTAGGAAAATATTTACTCATTACCTAACAATCTCAGAACCTCAAATTCACAGGTTGTCTGTCAACCTTTGAAATCATCTCTTCACATCATACAATTACAATAAATACTGAATTTCATGTTCACTATAGAACAATAACTACTATTTACAATTCTCATACTTACTATGGAACAACTACTATAAGTACATTTATAATTCTAATGTTCACGATAGAACAATAAGTATAATTTACAATTCTCATACTATAGAGTAACTATAGACTGGCCACCGTCTCTAGAAAGTTGAATTATTAAGTAATATTTAACTCTTATAATTTTGATCACTTGGATGTCTGATTTTAGAGTTCTAAACTAGGGGGAGATAAGCTAGTAGTAAAATGCAGTCGAGAAATTCTTCATAAAAACTTAGGGGCTGGTGGCCAGTCTAGGGTAACTACTATAAGTACATTTCCAATTCTCATGTTTACTGTTGCTGTTACCTCAGATTCTACCTTCCATTAATAACAATTATTACCCATTCTCACATTGACCGAGTGTTCCTGACTTTACATCATAATATCAGTAATGTAACAAATCCCGTCAGACTCAGTCTATCACACTATCACCCTACACTATCACCCTTGATAATCCAGGTGTTGCGCTCTCTTTCGCTCTCTGCAGCCCTGGAATATGTCAAAGCAAAATTGAATGAGAAAAAAAAGACTAGGACAGTGTACATCTCTTGGACGCATAACAGTAAAATTCCTCTGTTATCTTTAAGGACAGGTATCAGCCTAGTGAATTGTCAGTTATTTTTACCCCGAGACCAATAATAGCTAGCCTTGTGCCTTCAATTTCGCTATGACATTTCCAAGGGTGCAGAGAGCGTATGTGGTCATAACCCCTGGATATCAAGAATGTCACTCTTAGCATACTCACATTTAACATCTTACAGTGTAAAACTGGCGTTAAGTTATTAGCATACACTCAGTAAATGCCTTACACTATAAAATGTTTAACTAAGTTATAAAACCATACTCTTGTGTAACATAACACTATAAAACTATCGTTACATATAATTCTTCTCCATTGCATTTTTTATTGCATACAAGAAGCCCATTAAACCTAACGTACACCTGAGTTTTAATATTACTGATACTTGTTGTGATGTGACAAAGACAATTAGTACATATAATCCCTGAAAATAAATAAAATATACCCAAAGTGGTTTCCCCATTTTAACTATAGTAAACTTTACCTCCTCCTCAAAGGGAAAGGGTTACCTGGGGGTAATGAAATTAACAATTTTGATCCTAGCATATCAGAGTCTGAAGAATATTGCTGAAAATATGGCAAACTTGACCTACAATGTATGCAGGCCTGCCCATCAGGTCCTTGGAGGTGAGTCAGGGTCTTAATTTTCATACCATCAAAACTACAATCACATGATAATTATTTATCCCAAATTTTAATCATTTCCAAATGAAAATAAACAAAATATACCCAAAAGTATTATTTACCCTTATAAAACAAATTAAACTTTGACCTCTCCTCAGGGAGACAGGGTGACCAAGGGGTAATGAAATTCAAAACTATGCCAAACTTCTTAGGACCTTCCCATCCATGCAAGAGTGTTCAACTCTAACATATTTGGGTGTGAAAAAGATTTTTCAAACTATGGCATATTTGACCCCTTTTCATCCGTCCCCTGGAGGGTTAGATCTATATAATTCCCAATTTTAGTTTGCCTTTCGCCACAGACCTTTCCTGCAAAATTTCATTCAAATCTGTTCAGATATTTTGGAGAAGGAATAAAAGTGAATTGTTTATGGATGGGTGGTGGACAAAAGGCGATTTCTATAGGTTAACTGAGACTATATGTCTCGGGTGGTCTTAAAATACAACCAGAATATACCAACACGCACCACAGTAACAAAACCAACAAGAACATCAATAGAATCTTCATCACTAGTCAACACAATATTAGTAGTATGGGGTAAGGATCCCTGTACACTGCCAAATTTTACAACGGAGCATTGGAATCTGTTTTAACTGGAATGACAAAAGCTTTGATAAATCCTTTCTGAAAGATAACCATACCTCGAGGGACTTTCATGAAAAAAGTCGGGATGAAATAAACAAAATATAACCAACAACAGTGTTCTGGGTGTAAAAGTTCTGTGGGGCTAGACCGGGATTCGAACCCCTGACTTCAGATTGTTTTACTATTGTTCTATGCAACCAAGTGCCTTGACCCAACAATGCTCCAGTCCTATCCAAAATGAAATTAAGGGGAGATTACTGTGTATAAGAAAACCCAGGTGCAGTGGGACAGGGATCCTGAAATTAGCTGTGTCGGGATTATACACAGATCTACTTCTTCCATCAACTTGAGAGAATGTGTATAAATAAATAATATTTAATATTCTACACATAATGTTTAGTTTCTATTATGCTAAATTCTGTATAAATAGTTTTAATAAAAACGTATTGAGGACAAACACAAACAGCATTAATAGGAAATGCTATTGTAAAAAATGCTGCCAACTGTTACAATCATATTACAGTTAACTGCACAGTAGCAGACAGCACATGTACAACTAGGGACTTATGTACCAGTATAGATGTGGGTCTGGGATGAATGAAAAGATGGTTACTGTTGTCAGGATATTTGATCATCAGAGAAAAATATAAACATCAAAAACTATTTTGACGAGACACTCTACTGTCTACCAGTACTGACAAGACATACTCTACTCTCTACCAGAACTGACCAGATATAATCTACAGTTTACCAGTACTGACCAGACACCCTCTACTCTCTACCATTACTGACCAGACATACTCTTCTCTCTACCACTACTGATCACACACTCTACAGTTTACCAGTACTGCCCAGACACACTCTACTCCCTACCACTACTGACCAGACACACCCTACTGTCTACCACTACTGACCAGACACCCTCTACTCTCTCCCATTACTGACAAGACACACTCTACTCTCTACCAGAACTGACCAGATATAATCTACAGTTTACGAGTACTGACCAGACACACTCTACTCTCTCCCATTACTGACCAGACATACTCTACTCTCTACCACTACCGATCAGACACACTCTACTGTCTACCATAACTGAACAGACACACTCTACTGTCAACCAGTACTGACGAGATATAATCTACAGTTTACCAGTACTGAACATACACACTCTACTCTCTCCCACTACTGACGAGACATACTCTACTCTCTACCACTCCTGATCAGACACACTCTACTGTCTACCATTACTGAACAGACACACTCTACTATCTACCACTCTCTACTCTCTACCACTACTGACCAGACACGCTCTACTCTCTACCATTACTGACTAGACACACTCTACTCGGTACCACTACTAACCAGACAGACTCTTCTATCTACCATTACTGACCAGACATACTCTTCTCTCTACCACTACTGATCACACACTCTACAGTTTACCAGTACTGACCCGACCCCCTCTACTCTCTACCACTACTGACGAGACATACTCTACTCTCTACCACTACCGATCAGACACACTCTACTGTCTACCACTACTGACGAGACATACTCTACTCTCTACCACTACTGACCACACACTCTACAGTTTACCAGTACTGACCCGACCCCCTCTACTCTCTACCACTACTGACGAGACATACTCTACTCTCTACCACTACCGATCAGACACACTCTACTGTCTACCATAACTGAACAGACACACTCTACTGTCAACTAGTACTGACCAGATATAATCTACAGTTTACGAGTACTGACCAGACACACTCTACTCTCTCCCATTACTGACCAGACATACTCTACTCTCTACCCCTACTGATCACACACTCTACAGTTTACCAGTACTGCCCAGACACACTCTACTCTCTACCCCTACTGACCAGACGCACTCTACTGTCTACCACTACTGCCCAGACACACTCTACTCTCTACCAGAACTGACCAGATATAATCTACAGTTTCCCAGTACTGACCAGACACACTCTACTGACTACCACTACTGACCAGACACACTCTCCTGTCTACCACTACTGACCAGACACACTCTTCTGTCTACCACTACTGACCAGACACCCTCTACTCTCTACCATTACTGACAAGACAAACTCTACTGTCTACCACTACTAACCAGACACACTCTACTCTCTACTCATCAGAGAAAAATATAAACATCAAAAACTATTTGGACGAGACACTCTACTGTCTACCGGTACTGACAAGACATACTCTACTCTCTACCAGAACTGACCAGATATAATCTACAGTTTCCCAGTACTGACCAGACACACTCTACTGTCTACCCCTACTGACCAGACACACTCTACTCTCTACCACTACTGACGAGACATACTCTACTCTCTACCACTACTGACCAGATATAATCTACAGTTTACCAGTACTGACCAGACACACTCTACTCTCTACCATTACTGACAAGACACACTCTACTGTCTACCACTACTAACCAGACACACTCTACTCTCTACCATTACTGAACAGACACACTCTACTATCTACCACTACTGATCAGACACACTCCACTGTCTACCACTACTGACCAGACACACTCTACTCTCTACCATTACTGACCAGACACACTCTACTCTCTACCACTACTAACCAGACACACTCTACTCTCTACCATTACTGACCAGACACACTCTACTATCAACCACTACTGACCCGACACACTCTACTGTCAACCACTACTGACCAGACCCACCCTTCTGTCTCCCACTACTGACCAGACACACTCTACTGTCTACCACTACTAACCAGACACACTCTACTCCCTACCATTACTGACCAGACACACTCTACTGCCAACCACTCCTGACCAGACACACTATACTCTCTACCACTACTGACCAGACATACTCTACTCTCTACCACTACTAACCAGACACACTCTACTCTCTACCATTACTGACCAGACACACTCTACTGCCAACCACTACTGACCAGACACACTATACTCTCTACCACTACTGACCAGACATACTCTACTGTCTTCCACTACTGACCAGACACACTCTACTGTCTACCACTACTGACCAGACACACTCTACTGTCTACCACTACTGACCAGACACACTCTACTGTCTACCACTACTGACCAGACACACTCTACTGTCTACCACTACTGACCAGACACACTCTACTGTCTACCACTACTGACCAGACACACTCTACTGTCTACCACTACTGACCAGACACACTCTACTGTCTACCACTACTGACCAGACACACTCTACTCTCTACCATTACTAAACAGACACACTCTACTCTCTACCAGTATAGATGTGGGTCTGGGATGAATGAAAAGATGGTTACTGTTGTCAGGATATTTGATCATCAGAGAAAAATATAAACATCAAAAACTATTTTTTGACAAATATTTGGTGTTTAAAATACTTTCACTCAACATTTCACTGTTATGTCATCCCTTACATTGAAACAAAGAAAAATATCTATAGAAATAACCTAGACAAGAATTCCATGAAATTGTATGTCTCACCTGTCCTCGCTTTGAATCGGAGCAAAACAAAGAAACTTCATCTTGATAAGCCTGTTGTAACAGTCAATGGTGAAATGTAGGCTACAGTCAGTAACATCTGTGTGATGCATGATTAGCAATGAAGATGCAAAGATGCAACTAGGCTATATTTGATGTTCTAACAATTACACTTTTGTAGAAACAGCAAAATACAAAACATAACGTTGACGCTGCCGTCACTGCAAGAAAAGTGATATCTATTTCCTAGCAGCCTCTGTGACATTTGTCGCAGACGAGACAGACACAGATATCCTTTAAGGCTATACGAGTATAATTCTCCAACTCATTAATTCTCTGTACATATAAAATCTACACTAGAGCTTAAGCACTTATAAAAAGCATGCATAGAAAAGCAAATGGAGTAAAAAAAAAGTGTATATATAAATTATATATCAAACAAGAGGGTGGCACCCTAGCCTGTATCATTTAACTGTTTCCTTTATGAAATAAATACAATGTATTCACAAAAACTACAGAAATTTACAATATAAGATCTTTTAAAGTCTCCATTCCATTTCAGTGGTTTGAAACAAGGTGCTATTGGAGAGTTAAAATAAGAAATAAAGACATTTTTTTTATCAATGTCAATATCAAATAAGTTCAAAGAAAATTCATTTTTTAACAATATAAAAATATCAAATTTCCTTAAACAGCACATTACACGTATTACAACTACTACACTGGGTTATTCACCCCAACACACATTTAAGTGGATGCGTTATCACAGAGAGAAGGACTTGGAAAGACTTAAAAAATTACTACATGCTATCGTCGCTATTTTACTGGCAAAATGTTTGGCTTTAAGCCTATAATAAAGTTGTCTTTTTCCCCCAACAGTGAAAACACTGGTATCACTTGTCATTTTTACAGCTAACTTACCTATTGGAGATCAGTATAAACAGTGCAAATAACAATGGTCGGTAACTTTGTGTGTATGAACAAAGTTGTCTCCCTTAGTACATATCTATTCTTAATTTGGAATCAGCTTTTCTATGTCACATATTTCCTCTGAGCATTTACTTTTTATGTTCCTCAGCCTTGGAACTATATGTGGTGGGTTGAGCAAAGACGAGTTATACATCTGTCATAATTTTATCAACTAGCCCTGATCAGTAAGTAATGGAAGATCAATGAAGAAAATCTAATCAATTGTACAGTCCTTAATTCCTACTGAATATAATTTATATCTCAATAAGTGGGGTAAAAAAGTTTATGTTTTGATAAACCTAACTTGTTGAAATATACTTGGTATTCATTAAGAAATAAGAAATTTACATCAGCCAAGTATAAGGTTCGGACAGAAGCCTAGTAATCCAAAACGGTTCATCAGCCAAGTATAAGGTTCGGACAGAAGTCTAGTGATCCAAAACGGTTCATCAGCCAAGTAAAAGGTTCAGACAGAAGTCTAGTGATCCAAAACAGTTCATCAGCCAAGTATAAGGTTCGGACAGAAGTCTAGTGATCCAAAACGGTTCATCAGCCAAGTATAAGGTTCGGACAGAAGCCTAGTGATCCAAAATGGTTCATCAGCCAAGTATAAGGTTCAGACAAAAGCCTAGTGATCCAAAACAGTTCATCAGCCAAGTATAAGGTTCAGACAGAAGTCTAGTGATCCAAAACAGTTCATCAGCCAAGTATAAGGTTCAGACAGAAGCCTAGTGATCCAAAACGGTTCATCAGCAAAGTATTAGGTTTGGACAGAAGCCTAGTGATCCAAAACGGTGAACCTTACATCTTCTACTCCAAGTTTCACTTCATCTTCAACAGTTACTTGTGGGCTGCCCATCGAAATCTGAACAGTTTCTTGCTCATCAGACACATATGTGTCATCAGTTCCTTGCAAATCCTCAACAGAAATGTCACTGCTTCCTTGCTGTTCGTCATCTGCACAGTCATCGGTTCCATTATCATTCACTGGAATGTCCATGTCTTCTTCTGAAAGCTGATCTCGAAACACTTTAACATAAAACTGTAGCTCGTAGAAATACTGGCAAACTGTAAGAGCTTCATACAGTGCGTACACTGTAGCTTTTTTGTCTTTTTTCTTGACATAACAGCTCAAGGTCTCAAGGACACACTCCCTCACACCCTTACTGATAAAGTCCTCCCGGATCTGTTTCACTCTGTGTGGTGGGATTTCCAGCTGGTCATACAGCTTCTCCATTATGTGATTCTCCGACTTGTCACCTGTGGCGTAATTGGCTACACAATGTAGCATTCCATCATTGTATGGCTGTAACTGTATCCCTTTAGCTCTGGCAATCTCTGAAAGGTCAAAAGGTCATATATATATTTCCAGTAATAAGAAATATGTCATATACTTTTGTTTTATATGGTTTTAGACTCCGTAAAAGAGGTTTTTCTGTACCAAATATATCAGAATTTTAAGAGGCAATTCAGTGGATTAAACTTACATGTATGTCATCAATTGATACATAGAGAGTTAAAGTTGTACCAAACAGTGACAGAGGGACACAAAATGAACATACTACTTCTGTAAAAAGAAATTTGACAAGATGCTCAAAGGGTTGTATCGCTTGCTTCTTGGATTTGATTCTGAAGACCAAGAACGCTTCATACCAAATTTTGCTCAGATCTACTGTATGTACGGTTTTAGTGCGAGTATATAAAATCCCTGGGGTCTATGGGCAAGGACAATTAAATCCTTGTAGCATGATTCTAATCATCTCTTTGTGCCCAACAATATTGGTTACACGGTGAGGATATGAACAATTTCCAATTTATTACCAACCGACGAAGCCCCTAGAGCTGGCAGGGATCAATCAAGGTAGCATGAGTGGATATTCCCAGCAATAATTAAATATGATTATGGGGTCGGTATCTCAACCAAATTACCAATTTTATGTTATGGCCTAGGGACTAAGTCCTAATGGACAAGGCCAGCCCCCAGAGCCAATAAAGGTATCATGAGCGTAAGGTGCAGCAACCATGTAACTATACGATCCTAACTATTTCAATGCTACGACACAGGGATAAATTCAAGTTCATTGGGGCTAGGCTTGACCTGTTGGCCAATATATATCGCATGAATTTAATCATATCTTATGTCTTTTTGTGGTTATATAGTGAGCATTTTGATCATTTTTAAGAAGTGCAGCTAGCTGTGCCTTTGACTTCATGATGCTTCAAACCAAATTTCAAATCAATGCAAATCAAATCAGTTGATCATACGAGTTGTGAGTAAAAATTCTGATGCCAACTATAGTTTTCCAGTTACAAGTAATCCAGATTGTATTGTTATTTGACATACAATCAGACACATGGGACATAGAGCTCTACTTAATGTATAATATTAATATCAGTGAAATCAATGTCAATTTTTTTTAGGAATAAATTATTTCCATGGCAACCTTACCTTTGCCAGTAAACACCAGATCAGGATTTTCTGTAAGTTAAGACAGAAAGGTTTAACATTCATGTCAAGAATATCATTATAAAAAAAACATTACAACATGGCAATGAAATATTATTCTTATAAATACACTGTAATTGATTCTTGAAATTTCCTGACCATGATTTTACTTGAAAGGTCCTTCCTACATACAAATGTATACTTTGTAGCAGTAGAAGAAATACACTGTCAGTAACTACTCCAGATCTCCTTATCACATTTATCATAGTCCTGTGTGTTCTACACAAAAAATAGTCCGTTTACCTGTTTCATTTTACCTACCTAATCTGCCGTTTTCATTGAGAGGACAGACTTTACCTACTGTTAAATTTGGATCCCTTCCTTATTACATGTGGTCAGTACATTGTCATCAGTAACTTTGAATAAACTGAATCTGGACAATACCTCGGGTCAGTGTCTCCTAGTAACTTACTTGTGACCTTGAGGTGACAGAGAGAACTCGCGCCAGTCCCCACATCGTTAGTTGCTGTACACTGGTAAACACCCTCGTCCTCAAAACACACGTGATAGATGTGAAGGGAGGGGTCAGTGATGGTCGAACCTCCATACTTCTGATTATCCACAGCCAGGACAGTGATCAAACCGCCCTGGATTCTTTTCCAGACCACTGACTGTACACATGCACCAGTCACAAGTGAAAACAGGACAACATCGGACCCCAGAGTTTCACGAAAACCAGTCTGTTCGGTGGTAACTTGAGGAACACCTAGAGGACAAAGCAATGCTATATCATAACACAGCCGACAGAGAGGACATCATCTTTAATACTTAGATTTACAGAGTCATTTATGAATGTCACACTGCTGTTAGGTCTCTACAGACAGTAAGCAAACTCTTATTATTAATGATTATAATATCAGTACAATATGTCCATAAAATTATATACAACCAATGGAGAGGACTTGTATAGGCTTTAAGCCAATCCTTTTGACAGTGCAACATTCAAATTTGTCAATAAAGTTTGTTGAAATCAAAACCTTTAATACTAAAATTTACAGAGTCATTTATGAATGTAACACTGCTGTTAGGCCTCTACAGTCAGATCTGGGACAAATCAGTCAACCATGTTCCTGTTATTTTTCCTACTGATTAATACACCTCTCTTTCACTGACACTTAACACTTACCTATATGTATAACAGACTGCTGAGGACTGCTTTGCTGTGAAGAAGCTCCATCAACTGAAACACAGCAAGGTTTTTTGCTAAATTGTCAATTGTTATCGTGTAGACATATCCAAGAAGCTAAGAAGAGAAAACTAAGAAATACATGTCTGACAAGCTTGTAGATAAAAAGAATGTGTCAATAAACATGAAAATGAAAAATAACAAGAGGCCCATGGGCCTTAACGGTCACCTGATATATTTATACAGAGAGTTGATTTTGTTTTTAACATGAACAGAAATATTATTCAAAGTGACAAAAAACAATAAAACCACCTTACTCAATATCTAGCATACAGATTTCAGACTAAAAAGGATTTGAAACTAGCACCTCTGATTCTTAACAAGGAAAATGAAGAAATTTTAGCACACTGACTCCTTTGAGCCCCACCCTACAGCCCTTGGGGGTAGGGCTGGCTCAAAATTTTCAAAGTATCAAACTGTCAATTCAAGGTTATAATTCCAATCAAGTTATTAACATGTAAT